AGCGACTTTGGGAGATGGGTGCAGGAAAGCATGCCCGACGATTGGAATTTTAGTGTGCTCTGTCCAATATATAAAATTGGGACCCCACAGTCTGCGCCATATATCGTGGGATAAGCCTCCTTCATATCGGCTATGTAAAACGACCTTAGGCAACACTGAAAGCTCCGACAGGATCGGGAAGGACCTCTCCGCGCCGTTGGAAAGACCAGGTAGATAGGGACGTGGTTCCACTTGGTATCTCCAATTGGTGTCAAGCAGCGAGAAAATGGAATGAAATGGCGTGACGTTAAAAATTCGGCTAAAATAGCGTAAGCAGTGTCTACACCAGTAAAAAAAGAAGAAGAAGCCTCAGCATTCTGACACAAAAAATATAAGGGCAAATGAAAATAAGACATGTTGCGAAAAGATCATTTAGAGTCAACGAACATACCTTCTTTTTTCTATGATTCTGCTAAAGGAATATTTACTCACTTTGAAAAAGAAATTTGTTGCAGACTTCTGGCGGAGGACAAAAGCTAGTTTTATTGGAAACATTCGATCTCTTAAGGCATCATTTACATTGTTAAAGCTATCACATATATAAAAATGCTCTTGTGCTATTCCATAAAAGTCCGATATATTTGATAATACCTGTTTTGAGTAACACTAAAGTTTTTAGTTTTTTTGATATGGACTAACGCGCAGAGCCTAACTCTGACATGAGGTGTGGTCAAAAGTTGATGTAGGAGAATAGAAACTTTTCAAAAGAAAAGTTCTGCTTTCACAAAGTGAAAAAATAGTACTTTTTTCCTGTTTCAAGAGATCAAAGTTCATATTTTTAAATATAGGAATAAAAAATAATGCAATATGAATATTTTTTATTTATCCCATTACTATTTTTTTGGAAATAATAACAGAAATAAGCGTAAATACATTCCAAAAGCATTTTTTTATTTAGATGCTTGCTTAATAAATTTCTAAAAAATTAATTTTTGACAATTGCATATGCATAAATTCATATTCATAATTTTGAATAAAATGTGTGAGCTTCTTTATGAGAAGTTTTATGAGAATATTAATATTTTTGAGGGAAAACTTTATTGAATATATCTTCCTTGAAAATGGGGAGCGCTCTATAAATAATGTGAATATAAATAAAATATTATATATTTGGTTTTGTTCTCCAAGAAAATTATATTATAATAACCAATTTTATATAAGTGCTGGCTACCGCTGCAAAGATAACATGATACGAAGCTCTTTATTGACTAAGTGGTATTTATGCTTCCTAACGATCAGCTGTTCAAAGTTCCTTCAATTGGCTTTGTTTCCAGCCCAAAAATAATAATCGAGGAACGCATTTATCTATAATTTGTGGGAGCTTCGTATCATGTTATCTTTGACCGCTAGACTATTTTATTTAGAGCTTTCCAGAATATTACTTTCATGCCGGATAGTGGATAAAAAGTGCGTGTTTTACTGTAGACAATGGAACAATAGACATATACGGCGACACCAATATATGTATATATGTATAAAAGGTGGAAGGTTGAAAGATAGAGATAGAACCAGGCTTCAATTGAAATGTCCAATTGGCGCTAAACAGAAAATAAGAAATAAATGGCGTACTATTTTTATCTTAGTTGTAATCCGATAAGCGGTGTCTATTCCGACTAAGAAAAACTCATTATCATCACTCATTTGAAGTTAAGTTTTAAATAAACAAAAATTGCTGTAATTCAATAAAAACAATGCAATCGAATCAAATTTACCGACTCTCGACCTCTCAATGATATTCAAAAATTTAGTACAAGTGTGAGAATCTTATGATTATCCAAAAGCTTGAGACAAAGGCGGCCTCAAACGGATAATGAGAATACTTATATGTTATACAATAAACGTTTTATTATTGAAATTAGCAACAAAAAGTTTGCAACCATAAGTCGCCATCTAATTATCAGAACTTTTAATTTTAAGGAAGCCGTAAAAGTTATTATTTCAGATTGTGATTTTGAAATGTGATGTTTGGATTATTTTGTTAAAAGAAATCACCTCGTAAAAAACTCTTTTTTCATACATATATATGTATTATAGGCATATAAAGATTTTATATACATAAATAAATAATTTAAATAATTTAGCTAACAAAAAGTTAAAGCTATGATATTAATGATGAAAAATGAACCAGTTTTTCCATTTTTGTTGCGTTGCTTAAACTTGTTTTTCTTTTATTTTCCACACCTATAAATTCATCATTAATTTTCGTTCACCTAAGTGTTGATTTGAAATATTTTCCCATAAGTGCCACGCCTAAAATTAATATATTCGCCTATTTCAAGCGAACTAGATTGTTTTAAAATTTTAGCATGAAAAATGTAAAAAAGTTGTTAAGTAGTTTAAAATATATTTTTCATCTTTTTTATTATCATAACAAAATAAACGAAGCAGAAACAAACAAAATGCACGGACTGCGTGCTTGATGAAATACTAGGCAAGTATATATATAAATAAAAAAAGCTACGGAAATAACATGATTATATAACTAATTAATTAAAATTATATCAAAAACACATTTCAAAATATTATAAAGTCGCTACCATTCCTTTTTTTGCTAAAATACAATAAAAAAATTATTTAATCTGTAAATACTATAAATTCTTTAAACAAAGCTTTTATTAGAAATAGGCTGCTCATTATTTTTTTTTTTGCGAAAAATACTAACTCATACGAGTCTCTAGTGTTTTTTTATTTATCCAATTTATGTTTTACAAGTGGAACATAATAACTTAACTGTTGCCGGTTGATATATATTTTAAAATAAATATGTAAATATGTACAAATTATATACATATGTATGTATGTATGTATGTAAATAAGTAAGTTTTTGTAATGGTACAACAACCACTACATCTAGGCCTATGCCAATGGACAGTAATTGTTTCTGCGTGAATTGATCTGATAGATCGATCGTTTACAAACATATTTAAGCGTCAATCAATGGCAGTGAGTTCATATCTGGATAATTTGCATGCATGCATTTACTTCGACTGATGTGTGCAATGAGTTCTGTTGACAGATAATTGGCTTGTTGTACTCGAACGCGCAGAACGCTCACACATCCCTTGAAAAATCCAAAAAGGAAGATTTTCTCAAATCTCAGTGCAGAATTCTTTTTTTCGACAAAATTTTTTAATGCTTTTTTATTCTGTTTTTATGCTGATGATTCTCAACTTTTAGTTAAGTCATGCATATTTGCGCTGTACTTGTACCTTGTCCTATGCTTGAAACTTGTTCTACGATTTGTAGTTGGAGTTCTGTTTAATATTACAAATGCCATCTGAGGGGCTTAAAAGTGTGACTTTGAAAGATCATGGGGGATAAAGTGTAATGGATTTTAAGTTTTCTTTGTAAATATTGGTCGGCGTAGGACACCTTTTTACTGTAAATGTACAATATAAACTTCAATAGTAAACATTGGAAAATGAATTTGTAGAAACTTCCCAAAGGTGTCATGTTGTACTGGTGCAATCTGCTTTTGAATCGCTTATCTTCACTGAAATTTCATAATATCTCGAGTGTGAACGCTTGGCACCAAAAGCGACAATCTGTTTACCACTTATTTTTACATACGAGCATGTACATATGTATACTCGTATAGCATATCTCAGTTGTTTTAAAATTTTCAGAAATATTCAGTTTGTTAGTTGTTGTAGTTCGCAAATAATTCTTTTCATACATTTTTTTTTTCGGTCTTAAATGTGGGCCTGATAGAATTTTATGTAACATAGCCGTCGGAAGATATTGAAGAAACGCCCCTAAAATGTCAGTAAATATTACATATATGTGCATTATCTTATATGATAATTACGTCGCACAACATAAAATTACAGCTTAGCTTTGGTTATGATATTTCATTCAGCAGCTAGAAATTGCTTCTAGAGAATAATCCGATAGAAATTGTGGGACTAAGTTCAAGAAGTGCTGGTTCCATAATAGCCTGTGTCTGGTTAATGTATGTGAATGTTTTTTACGATAACTTTACGTTAGAATCTTCTTAGAGATGTGAGGTCACCTGCTGCTGCTTTTCGGTTGCTTAGAACATAGAGATTCGGGGTGGTTCAATTACAACAAAGAAATAGATGATTATTAATTCGAATGATAGTGTAAAATGTTTTTTTTTTAATTAAATGTTGCAACTCACCAAAAACGACAACCTACCTACTACTTAGTTGGGTAAAAAAAAACATTCGTAAGATAACGATTTTTTAGGAAAAAAAAAGCTTCATGAAATTTTAATTTTTAGGCTCATAATTCAGAAAGTTTTTGGGGGTGAGGCTTTCGATACCGTAGGAAAGAAAATCTGTATACAAAAAAGTTCATTCACACCATAAATAAGTTAAATACACTACAATTTGAAAGCTGCACGGAAATTAACAACAAATCAAAACACATTGCCGTTGGTAATGACAGTTCGTTACATCTATTAGGAATATCCGAAATATAACTTGGCTATTTTAAATCTGCCGGCGTCAGAAGTCTTCAGAAGATTTCTCCTAAATATTATTTAACACTATTAATGAAAGCCGAATATCACTTTTACAATTCGTTTTAATAATAATATAGTTAAATAAGAATATTGGCAGTATTAAGCTTCTTACGAAAAAATTCATTTTCACAGTTAAAATTATTGATAAGTAAATTTATAGGTTTCGTTTGAATTTTCACAATTTTTTTTTCACTAATGTTATCATTTTTATTTCTATTTTAAGTTTTCTGTTATTATTTTCAAAAATTTGTCATAGATGTGTTTTTCCATGGAAAACTCCTTTGTTTTAATAGTGAAAATGACAAATTTCATTAAACAAGAAATAATGCAATTTTATAATTATTTTGTCTATACTAAATGTAGGCCTCATAATCGTTCTACAGCGACATGAGATCATATGGCAGGTTGATTTTCGCAACTCGCAACATATTTGTAGAATTTATGTATTTATCGTCAGCTATCACACAATACTCACCATCATGAATTTCTGGTCCTCGAACTGGTGATCGCTGGTTCGATGTAGGATATGCATTTCTGTGAAAATTTTAGCTCAAACAACTGATATGTGAGATTGGATAAACGTGTGCTGGCGCTGTTGCCGTTATACGAATAAAAAATAATAATTACAGGTACGAAGAAGATTATCCTCTATTAAGTTTTATAACACACTAATGGCACTAATAAAGGCAACTGTACGATTATTCATATTGGCAATTATGTGATGATAACACACACATTCATTTTAAGATCTTACTCAGTCACTAGCGGAGTAGATTTTTTTTCATTTGATTTTGGACAGAATAAAAGTGAAATTCTGTCTTAATGCACCGCATCCCGTGTATAAGCATATATCTATGTTCGTATGTATTTACATATGTATGTAACACCGTTGGTATTTAGCATCAGAATTTATATTTATTAGCCACTTTTATCAATCTATGCATGTACAATACATATGCACGTACATATGAATGTAAAAATCTATAATCGGAGCTTAATTCTTATACAAATCCACACACACGTATGTACATATGTAATTTATGTATTAATTGAGATGATTTGATTTTTTCAGTCGCTCGTTCCATTTATGTCACATATATTTTCTCGCGACAGCGCAATTTCTTGTACGTCCTTTTTTTGTAAAAGGAAATTCAAACAAAAACAAAACGCAAACGCAAACGCACCGCACTACAATGGGTTGGCGTTGAATATCGAATATCAGAAGCAACCCGAAAACGACATTTACCCTTGTGCAGTCAGAGACGGTAGTTTTCGACTGAAACTAAATTTTCTGGTTGGACGTAAAGACCTTCAGGGTATGTAGGTAAACAACTACTACTTCTGTCGCGGCGACTGCTGTGGATGCCGCTGTTGTTGCTATAGTAGCTGCCGAGCAGAGAACGCAGATGCTGTTGCGTTGCTCTTGGCTGCATTACCTCGGCCGGTTGTTGTTTCCATATTGTTTTGCTGTTTTGCTGTTTTGCTGGCCAGTAGGTCTCCTTCTATGAGCGACTTAAACAACCGTCTACATCACGTAAGGGAGTATGGTAGTTGATGCCACTGGGGTGAGCATTAATTCGCGTGGCTTGTTTGTAACAACTACACAAACACACGGACACGGGCGCGCGCCAACCTACAATATGTACGATAAGGCACGAGAACAGTTGTCTCGCTTTTGGCCGTTTCCACCAAGTGTACAACTGTAGCCTGAAACCGCATTCGCTCTTTCAGCGGCACAGTTCTGCCGAAGGCAAAATCTCATTTGTTGAAACCGTCTCTCTGCTATACCTTTCCTGGTGCTTATCACAATGCTACATATACATCCACAGGGGCTTACATTCATTTTTATGAAAGCATGTACTTTTCACACATACATACGTACACATTTACAAATAGCTATGTAGTGGTGCCAGGTGCGTTTAGTAATACAAATTTTGATGCTCCACAACAAATGTAGAGAGACTCAAACTGCGTTCTCTTTGAGGGCTGATAAAAGAGAACATCATATTGTACGTATCTATATATGTATAAGCACTTATTTAAGTAAGAGAAAAATGAAAGCTCACGCAAATCACATCCTTCCACTGATAGAAAAAATATTCATTACAAAAATGAAACTGGACAAATAAAAAGTTTTGTGAGTAGATGTGACATAAATAACCTGAAAATTTGATTATGGCATTGCTTCGAAAAATTATTTTAAAATCAAAATATTGTCACTGAGAATTTAAACAGCCAAGTTCATACCTAGAAGAGTCATTGGTAAAGCAAGTATTATATGCATTCACGCATACATACCTATGTAAATAAATAGCCAATGTAAATATTGACTAAATCTCCATTTCGACAAAAAACCATATAGCCAATGAATTTGAGGTAACGTTGCGAGATAAGAAGCCTGTTTTCTCTCCACTGTAGCACATCACTCCTCATCGAACCAGCTGTTTTTTTGACCCTTCGGAAAACGAATAGCTTCGTTTGCAGATGTACCGACGAAGGGAGCTTTAAAATGTCGTTCAACAGTTCCCTTAAATCTAGTTGCTGATAAAGTGATTTCAGCTTGATGAATTTTATTGTGCTAGAATCTAGTACTACGTCAAGGAGACATCGTGGCGGATGGACTGTGAATTTCAGCCACAGAGTCATACCATTTATATGGCCGCACAAGGACCAACTCGTCTCCGTCGTTGTTTTGTCCATGGCACTTCTTGGACGGCGGTGATTCCAGCTTTTTGTCCTACAAGAACATCAACCAGCTAGAGAGGGGTACCCACCTTATTTAGGGATCGGACATTCCAGGTATATGCCTTCGAATCACAGTCCTTAATACGCTTCCATTGGCTGTCATCAAAATGTGGGGTCTCTCATCCGAAACTTTTTCATTGGAGCTGGTTTCTACGTGACGTAAGTTTTTACACATTTATATAGCGAGCCGCGTGCTACAAGACCGACATACAAAGCAAACATTCTCCAGCGTGTGCTCTGCCCAATCCAAAAAAAAGGGCGATCGCAGGTAATTACAATAGGGTATACATCCTCCATATCGCATATAAGGTCCTATCGAACGAATTATGTAAAAGACTAAAGCCAACCATCAACAAACTGCTTGGAGCTGATCAGTGTGGCTTTAGATCAGGTAAGTAAACCATTGTCAGCGCAAAAAATCTCGGAAAAGAATCGTGAAAAAAGGAGCGAAGCACACCCCTCTTCGTCGATTTTAAGGCAGCCTACGAGAGCACGAAAAAGAGCTGTCTCTACGCTGCCATGTTTGAATTTGGAATCCCTGCAAAACTTATGCGATTATGTAAACTGACCTGAAGCAACTCTAAAAGCTCCGTCAGCATCGGGAAGACCATCTTCGAGCCGTTCGATACCAAACGAGGTTTCAGACAGGTTTATCCCTTACTGTGTGTCTTTTTTGAGTTATTGCTGGAGAAAATAATACGCGCTGCAGAGCTGAGCAGAGAAGGTACAATCTTCTATAAGCTGTTGACGTATGCCGGTGATATTGACACTTTCTGCCTCAACAGCTGCTCTTCTGTTTTCTCCAGACTTGANCTACCTACATATATTATGTACATTTACTAGTTTATTTCAACTCTTTTAAAGGATCAGTGTCAGGATAGTATAATCGTCTTTAAAACCGCCTTTGGCAATTTAAAGCGAACTTTTTCTGAATTTAGTATCTCTAGATAACAACAACAATTAACAACAAAATAATAAAATGGCTGCAAAAATTAATTGGTGCCATATGAGGCTCAGAGAGAGTGCCCATACATACATATGTACGTGATATCTTTCAGCGGATTGCAGAAAAAATAAACGATTGCCCCGATATTCTGGACTCATTCAAACGATTTTCTATGCATTCACCTTTAACCAATGTATTAATTTGGTGTAGAACCGTAAAGAAAATATTATTTTTTTATTGGGATTCTTAAAAAAAAACAGTTTATTATTAATACCGTACAGAATTGGTGTTTTCCTAGGCCTCTTTCTACCAAAAAATTAACTGTATGAGACAAGCTCTAAGCAGAAACAAAATCCATTGTTGTATTTGTTCTCTGCTCTCACCTTTTGAATACTATTTGGAGCAATATATGCCAAGGGCGCTCTCCTAGACAGTTTTTGTTGAAATTACGATTTGTTTATCCCCAAAATATCAGTTTTATGGCAACTTCGGATATTGAAGCATTTATTGCCGGGATAACACAGAAGCTGAAGACATAGACATAGATGGATAATTTAGTGACTATACTAAGGACTCTGACACTTAAATCTAAGATTTTTCAAAAAGTGAAGTTTATCGATGTGTGCACTGAGCGGCTGAAATAATGGATTTTCAAAAGAAAAATTTGTCGCATTTCAGACACTATTCCATATTTAAAAATTACTTTTTAGTGTGCTCTATGGGCTCGTTGGCCTACTACTTCAAAAATGAAGTCGGCCATAATGCTACAGTCGAAGAGCGAACGCGATAGAGCTATAAGCAATGATTTTTTTTGCCGGAATTGGACATGTTGATGTGGACGATTTTTGGTGCAAACAAGACGGCGCGGGGTCTGCAAAATTATCCGATTTAAAACCGATGGACTATATTTTGTGGGGTTACGTGAAGTCACTTGCCAACGCAGATAAGCCAGAGACGATAGCTGAGCAGAGAAGGTACAATCTTCTATAAGCTGTTGACGTATGCCGGTGATATTGACACTTTCTGCCTCAACAGCTGCTCTTCTGTTTTCTCCAGACTTGATAAGGCTGCGAAGGATATGTATCAAACAAATAGTCATGGTATTTGCTACTCGGCTCTCATGTCACTGTTGACAGTCATAACTTTGAGGTAGTAAATAACTTCGTCAGCAGAATTACTCTTACCAACAAGTGCTATTTGGACTGAGTAGTCGATGACAACACCTGATGAGTAGAAACTAGGAGTTTTCGAGAGAAAGGTTTTAGTTTGGAACGGTGAATAGAACAGCATATGGAATGACAAGCTGGATGATATAAACGGCGACAATGGCATAGTTCAGCAAATTAGAGGAAGAGCTCCACTCTATTGGAAGGATCAGGTGGATAGCGACCTGGTTTCTCTTGGTATTTCCAACTGGCGTCCAACAGCGAAAAGAAGGAATGAATGGCGAGCAAATATTAATTCGGCCATAATCGTGTAAGTAGTGCCAATGCCAATTAAGCAGAAGAAGAACTCTTAGATCGAATATTTCGGTGTTGTTCCACTGAAGCTTCCACTACTTTCCTTAAATTTTGAAGTTACAAATTTGACTTCTTTCAACGAAGCATAGCTGATATAAAGGGACGTTAAGAGGGATTTTTGTTTCGTTTTACGAAGTATCGATTTCGTTTAACTTCCGTTGATATTTAAAAGCATAAGCAGTTTAAGTCATGTTTTACAAGGTATAAATTAATAATAATTTTTTTATTAAATATTTAACTTGAGAAAATGTTTTAATTTAAATTTTTTTGTTAGTCTTTGGAATCCTTCGAATATCTCAATTCAAGATTTCGATACTCATTTGAGGATTACTTTGGGGGTCCGCGCCTAAATCTTACCTAAATAATTTAAAGGTTACTGTCTAAAACCTCGACGACTCTATGTATCACCTCTTGGTATGATCACGCAATGGAAGAACATAAAAAAACTGCGAAGTTTCTCAACAAATTCGTACGCGTTCTTTATAAAATATCTTTTAAAAAATCTCTTATAATTTGTAATAGTGATCATTTATGATAACTCTTTTGGAGTAATTGAATTCGCG